TCTGGTATTTCTGAGCAAGCCTGGAAGCAAAACTCGTCCAGAAGATGACCTCTACTGAAAAAAAGAGGTTCCTTCAGACTTCAAGTATCCTCAAGAAGGCAGATATCCTCAGGATTACTGTTCTGATATGACGGTTAAAATTCTATATACAAACTCCTGAAGTTCTGGCATCCTCTTGAAGATCTGGACAAAAGCAACCAAGACTGAGATGGCAAAAGGAAAAGCACTTATAAACTTTTCTGAGTTTAAGATTGAAAATTCTTGTCTCTTTGTTCCTATTTTTAGGACAGCAGATTTAGGTTTAACGCTCTATGGTGAAAGCTTGCCAACACAGCTGCTTTTATGCAGCCTCTAAGAAGTACAATTTGACTTCTTTTTAATTGCACATGCTTTTTTTTAATTTATTTTAAACTATATTGATAATTTCTCCCCTTACTATTAAAAGTGGCAAGGTTTTGTTCTCTCCAGTATGATAAAAAAATTGTTGTTCAATCATAGTGGATCACCATAATTTAAAAGCATTTAACCTGCACTGCATTTCCACAGTCATTTTCTGCTCTTCACCAGGACACATACATAGAAAACCAAGAGATTCAAGTGGTGAAAATCACCACAGTCATTGTAAGTTATTGAGAAGTGTTAAGATAAACCGAAAATAGCACCAGTTTCACTGTACTAAAGGTTGCATATAAGGTATATCAAGTTCTGAGAATGCCAGTAATAACACTAAATTGCTTCAACTGCTGAATGCTCAAAGCAAGTTAACTAACAGCTACTACTAGCAAACTAACATTCAGTTACCACAGAACAAACTTCACAGTTTTTAAGATGTAGCACTCAACTACACTTCTGTCAGAATAAAACAGGTAAAAACTCTGACGATGTTCCATGTACATAAAACAATTCAACTTTCTTTCATGCATATGTGAGATGCAGATGCTCATAACCCTATATTCATGTACGTGCTTGCAGTAGATCAGTAGATCAACTGAGAAATACCTGTAGAATAAAACTCCCATCTGCCTATGAAACATCACTTTAAGACGTAGTTTGCTGGTGGTCAGGGAAGAAAGGGTATTCTACAGATAGATTAACAACTAACGGAGTCTGAGAATTCAAAAAGAAGTCCCGAAAAAAACAACAACTTCAACAAAACTGACCTCTTCAGGCGTTCACATCAACTACAATGAACTTGGATCTTTTGCAGACTCCAGATTTTCCTGCACACATGCAGGCATTAATACAGCCAACAAGTAGAGAATTGCCTAAAAATAGCTCTAGCAGCCTTTCCTCTAGAATGCAAACACTGCCGTTAAATACAACATGGCAACACTTGGGATCAGTGTGGATTTTGAAATACCACATGCAAGCTATTCAGGTTTCTTTAAACAACAAAAATAGCAATAAAAATAATGTCAAACTTGGTCTTGCTGGTAAAAATATCTCATTTTCCAAATGTAAATGTTAAAAAAAAAAAAACAAAAAAAACCTGTAATGGCTTTTATATACCATAGATTGCTTATTTAAGTGGTACACTCAGTGAAACAGATGTCATTGCACAATATCTCTGTTCCACCCACATTCTGTTCTCCTAGTTGCCAAACAGAACTGTTTTGAGTTATTTACTGAGTGATCAGATTGAAGTATTTCTGCAAGGATCTCCACGCTACATGAAAGAAAAAAAAACAAACAACAGTACTTAAAAAACCAAAATGGAACTGCACATGATGTTCTATTGTGACTTAATTTGGTCAACATGCCTTTGCTAGTAGAGACTACCAAGGCAGACCAAAACCTTTAACAAAGGGTCAAAAAAATCTTATCTTTACAACTTGATTTTTTTTCTTTCTTCCTGACCCTTACACTGTTTCAACTTTGTGTTTTTAGACAACTTCACTGAACCAAGGAAAATACAGAATTATCACTAAATCTTCTGTCTCAGTACCCAGAATTATTTTTTCTTGAGTAGAATATCTACATGCAACCCTAAATCCATGCCATAATATTACTTAGGTTGGAAGGGACTTTTGGAGGTGTCTGGCAGTGGGACTGTAACTTCAATTATTGGGCCAATTCACCCCACAGCACTCAGTGAAGCTTTTCAGCGATACACCACACGTGCCATTCTCCACTGTAGAACATAGCTATCTGATTTTTGTTCTGTTCTTTCATGGTGTCTTGTTTTTGAACCTTTCCTCCTTCCTTCTCCCAGCCTTGTCACAGTGATCTTCGGTTGATTACAGACTGCAGTTAGGCTTCCTCAGTGAGATGGGGAAGGAGACTAACCTTGCCAGCTGAACGCTGCACAAAAAGACCAAAACAACACTAAATCAAAAACAAAACAAAACAAATTAAAACATACCTACTCTGTTCTCATCAGTGTCAAACTGTCACCAGAAATCGAGTTATAAGATTTCTCTAAACCTGTGATCTTTTAAGAACCCAAACTGCATTTGGTTAAAAGTTAGTGAAGGAAAATAGAGAACAAAATAAAATCCATATATTCTGCATTCACATTCACAGTGAACTGATAAACAGGGCAAAAGAACTTTAGGGAAAGCTGCTAAGCTTGAATACTTGCAGAATTCGGGGGAGGAAAAAGAAACAAACAATGAACAAACAACAAACAAATGAAAATAAACCCACAAGCACTTCAATTCTCAAACATAACAAAGAGGCATCTAAAACATGCCTAGAGACATGCGTGCATTCTGCAGCAGAGTGAATACATATCTAGCCAGTGATGGCTAAGCAGAAAAACCTTATCTATGACCTTTTCTCATAGTAAGTACTGTCCTTGTTAAAAATGTGAAACTTTCTTCAACCTCTCAAGAAAAGTGGCACTAAAACTACTAATGTTAACATCAAAATACATTTTAGTATTCCAAAGGTTTCTCTTCTCATCAGATTTTCACTCATCAGTACTTGTTTGCTATTAAGCCACCTAACCCTTCAACTTTCCAGATTTATGTTGCCTTATTTAGAACTCTGGACTTTGCTGAGCTGCTTTCAGATTACAACATAAAGTCTTAGGGATAAATAAAGCAAGCACGTTTCTTAGCAGACCACTTGCCACTTTAGCAACAGCAGAATCAATAATGGATAAGGAGGAGTATAGTTCTCAAATTTTTCATTCCCATCTAATTTCTCTGCATCTGTAATATGAATACGCTTCGAGAAAAAGCAGTGGGTACATCAAACCATGAGAGTGCTTCAGGAGTGAATGAACTTGACTTTTTTTTGAACATCAGTGTGCTTAAAGCATTTATTCAGTGCCCAATGTGGATCTATTTTTCCATCCAGTTGAAAATAACTGAGCACTTACCATGTTATTCTAGCTATTCTACACAACCCTGCAGCAGAGAGTCCAATGCAATCGATTCGCATACTGACTAGAGTTTCAGGCCAAGTATGTATTCACGTGTCCTGCAAAGCTAGTTTCTGGACAGATGATAGTGCTCTAGTTGTTGATAGCTTTTTGATATCCATAGTCCCTTCCTATTATTGCTCACATCTAGCACTGACTGTGGAAGTATTTACAACACACTGTGAAAGAACACATTTATCTGGAACCAAACGAATGCAGTAGAAGAAGCACTTCATTCATTAGCGCAAATTGTTGGTGTTCACTCTTCATTTTCTTTTAAAAAACCCAAATTATGCATTTTGAGAAAGATAAAGACAAGCATGCTGATTTTCAAAAAAATTTGAACAAAGAGGAAAGTATGAAATTACAAGAAAGTGTACATGTTAAATTTGGTAAGAAAAAATAAATATTTATTTCTTTGTTTATTTAAGAGAGAAAGTCATGTCTTTATTTGGATCAACTTTTCTGTGGTTTCAGTTCCTAAAACTAAAAACACCTGTTTGTACTGCTCAGATATCAGTACTGTTCTTCAAAGTTCGGCATACAGAATCATCAGTATTCTGTCAGCCACAGGCAGGTAGCCTCTCTCATTACAGGAGCCCAGTCTCTCTGTCATTCTGTTATCTGCTTGTACACTGTTATGGGGTTGTGTCTCTTCTAAAGTACTAATATGCCACTGTGAAATGAAAGAAATGAGTGAGGTGTTCCCTGACACTGAATAATTACTGGATAATAAAACCTTATCTGATGAGTAATTCTATTGTCAAATAAAACTAGACAGTTTGATTTCATTATCAAGTATTCAGTTAAGATAGTGTCTACATACATAAGTACATACGGGTTCCACTTCAAGAGTCCTTTAAATGCAGTCTGCTTTAAGAAAAGATCTTTTTAAGAGATTATGACAATTTCTGAACATTCGCTGATCACAGACTTTTTTTTTTCTTTTTTTTTCTTTTTTTTTTTTTTTTCTATATGGCAAATTCTGAAGACAACCCTGCTTAGTTGAAATACTGTGAAAGGAAAACCACCCAACTAAACAGAGTACCTCTGGGTTTTGCCATTATGATCACTGCTTTTCCAGATAATTTTTTTTCATAGAATGTCACTAATTAGAATAGGATGTTGGCATACCATATGAACGCCAGTAAATGAAAAACATCTCCAGAAAACATCTATAAAAATGACATTATGTATTGCTTTGAGTGCAATTGCTTTTTTTGAAGAAGGAAGTGCATTAACAGCCTTTAAAAAGCCAAATCTTGTCATGAGATTCCCCACAGCTATTGTTACTGCTGAACCAAAAGGCTTAGGGAAAACAAAAACTATTATATCTCAGACCTCATCAATGTTGCAAAATGCTGAACAAAGGTTTATGTCATTCCGATGGCATTTTGTCCTGCTCTCTGTGCAATCTGGATCATTCTGGAGCTAAAAGCTATTGATTTACTAGAAAGCAGCTTCATGTTTTGTATTTTCAATCCTATTGGTCGGATTAAACAAAAAGACCTTTCAGCAAAACACAGAACTTTTTATATTACTAACTGGACTGTACTCAAGTCTGTTACAATAAAGAAGGAGTCGGCACTGATAGCAGCAGTATTACACTTATGCTCATTAAAAATCAACAAACCTTTCCTTCAGCGTCTCCTGTTGTAGCCTTCTCAACCTTGTTCCTGTTTAAAATTTTTTTCACCCATTCTTCCACTTGAACATTGAACTTCATGAAAGTCACATAGCAAAAGTATGCTGTCAGGAGCGTTAAGCTTTCCCACCACATGATTAAGTTATCCAGAAAAAAGATGATTAGCAAGATCAAGTCAACGATGTAAAAGGACACATCTCGAAAGAGTGGCCACCAAGTAAGATTCAAGATTTCTCTAGAAAATAAAGCACACATTCCAATCACGAACAGGATATTAAACACAGCAGATCCCACTATTGTCCCAATGCCGACATTGCTGTGGGATATAAACACTCCTATTAAAGAAGTGAAGAGTTCTGGGGCCGAGCCACCAGCTGCCATGAAGGTTGCCCCTGCCACATCATCGGATATGCTCAGCTTTTCAGTGATGACAGTCAAGGAAGGAACAAAGAACTCATCACAGACTATGGCTAAGGCTATGAACATGTAAATCATTCCAATAACATGCAGTATCACTGCACCCTTTCTTCGTTCTTCCAGAGAGAAAAGGTCCTCTGGGTACTCTCCCTTGGAATGCTCTTCTGTTGCATTGTCATGTTCAGCTTCATGTTTCATAGACGTAGGTGAATCTGGAGTGCCACCTTCATTCTGTTCCATGAAATCCAACAGAGTTCTTTGGTGACCATGCACCAGCTTTTGGCTATCTAGGCTGCTATCCAACACCTTGCTATGTGTTTCCATCTTGAAAAAGGCACTAATTGAAAGAGAGAAAGTACTAATGGCCACTACACTGACAAGAAGCCCTATTATCCTTATCAGTCTCAGTTTTTTCCTAACATTCTGGTGCCGTTTGCAACCAAACAGTGGTTCCTTCAAACACCACTCTTCCAAGACACTACCAACAGTTTTTTTGCAAAGAGCCATTGTGAGTCCTGTGTGAGATGCTGAGGGAGTCAGATGGATTGTTCCTTCATAATTTTCTTCTGCTTAAAAGGTAAAGGTGCTTTAAGGGTTCTTCCATCAAGTTCTTTTATTCTTCATAGGAAGTATTTTCTTCATTCGTACTAAAAGGGGCAAATAGGTATTATTAACATTTGTAAAAGAATACATGAATAAAAGCTTTTATAGACTTGGCTAAATTTAGAATTTAAAGCAGAATATTACTGACTGCAACACAGTACCCTGCCTCATACCCTCAGGCACAGCAACAGTGTGTCTGCTTCAGCATTAACCCTGCGGATAAAAGTCTATCAGTACTCAAATCACTTTATGCCACGGCTCAGCATTAGGACTCAGCTGATGACAAAAAATCCTTGCAGAAAGGAAGAACTGTTCCCAGATGCACAACAAATGAAGAAGCTACTATTTTAATTGCTACACCAAAGGTTATCATCTTCTGTAATTACTTTCTTCCACAATCACGTAGTGCCCAATTCCCAAATGCAGAGGCAGTAATGTATGAAAAAAGCAATCAAAGTGTAACAAGCATCTCATCAGGCTTCTATGCAGCTGAGGTAGTATTAATTGAAATGTTACACACATGTAGAGCAAGTCATTATAATGCGTAGGTAACACACAGAGCTGCTGGAGTAGGATCGAAATGAAGATCTGAGATACACACACCTTCTTTAACTCCTCTGCAAAATCAGCTCAAGTTTGCACAAAGAATTCAATTTGCTTCTGACCAGATCTAGGACATTAGTTTAAGCTAGATAGCACAAGAGTTTCATCCACCTTTGATTTTATCTCACACATTCAGCTATAAAAGTAGGAAGCCGAACACTTTTTGGCATTTATTTTTTAAAAGCACCCAACTTACAGATTGTGTTAAAGAAAACAATTTAAGTTCATGCCTTAAACTTAAAGGCGATGCTGAAACTTTGAGAATATGAGAAAGACTATTCATATCAGCGCAGAGTGGTGGAAGGACAATACTTTCAATACAGGAAAGAAAAAATTAAGTAATTATTATATAACAGGGACTGTGATTACCTAATTCAAAGACGACAACATAGAAATTAATTACATACATGTTATGCATAGCAAGCCACATTTTCTACAGCACGAAATATAAAATTGACTATCAATAACTTCTGATTACGATGTAAAACCAATGCGTTACACCACGTACTCAAGGCGCTTGCAGTAAAAGCTGAATTTTGAAGACTATATGAAATGCCGATTTTGTACTCTCAAAGAGAGAATTGCAACTACATAAAAGTTCCTAAGTCACGTGCAACATTTCCTCATTTTACAAACGGCACCCGCGCTAAGATGTCATAGAAACACGCTCCATCCCCAAAATACAGCACCACAGTGGAGATTTTCTATTTTCCACCTGAGAGTTGCACTCACCAGCCTGCCACACAAACACCACACAGGAAAGGCGGCAGAACGACAACACCGCTTCGTGCAACACACGTGCCACACGGGCCGATCCCCCGACCCAGCTCCCCCCTGTCCAGCCTGTCCCCGGCACCCCGCCAGCCGCTGCCCGCGCCCCGCGGAGATGCCGCACCGCCGCTCCGAACTCAGCCCAAGTTCGCCCCTCCCCGCACGGCTCCGCACCGCACAAACTTTTCTCCTCTCCTTCCGGCGAGCCGGCCCAGCCACGCTCCCCGTGCCGCAGCCGCCGAGGCACTGACCTGCCCGTCCGCGCGCGGCTGCCGGGGGCACGAGGCGCCCCGCAGCAGCCGGGTACCACCCACATGGGCGGGCGGCCCCGCCCGGGTAAGGCAGCCGCGCTCCGCCGCAGCCCAAGCCCCGCCCGCCCGAGCCCGGCGTCGCTCACTCGCGGAGCGCTACTCGGCTCCGACGCCCGCAGGGGCTCGGGCACCCGCGGCCGCCGCTACTGCCCCTTGCCGCGCTGACTGCGGCGGGCGGCGGCTGCGGGTCCGCACCGCACCGCCCCGCACAGGCGGGGCAGGAGGTGGCCCGCTCCCGCCCAGGGCCGCCGGGGGCGTTTTAGAGCCCCGTCGCCCCCCTGACGGGTACGGGAGTGCGGGTAGCGGTAAGGGAGCGGCGGCAGGGGCTGCGCGTTTCCTTACGCCTCGGGTTGCCGGTTAACGGAGTTAAGTAATATTTGCTGCCTCCATAGGCAGTGATGAGCTTCGATGAGAGGGGTAATTTTAAAAAGGAAATGTCTTCTCATCAGCGTGTCCTTTGTTCCAAATGTCTTCTGAAGGGAAATCAGGAAATGAAAGAAAAGAACATAGCGTTTTTGTTCTGACTTTAAGGAAGGAGACGTGCCCACCGATAGTTATTAATCATCAGTAATTTACTTAGAAACACAAGTGTCTTTAAACTGCTCTTCAGAACTGGCACAGAGACCGATGAACTGCGCTCCCTAGAAAACAGGGGAAGTTCAGATCCAGACCTTTCCCTTCCTTCATCTTTCAATATAGGTATATCCTCAGTAAACTCTGGTTTGTTAAGCAATAAATTCAAGATTCAAATACAGTGGAACTGCTGCAGTGCCTCAGCATCGCTACCTTCATGTGCTAAGTGCTGCAGATTCACTAGGGCATAGAGGTGCTGCTCTGCTGAAATACCACTTGTGGTCCTACTTGAAGTCTTTGTTACAGAAAGCCACGAAGCAATCTGCGGGTACAGTGAGGTAACCTAATGTGGGTAGGCCAGCCCCACAGGAAGCTGTTCACTGAATGAGCAGAGCTGGGAAATACTTCCATGTGGACGTATCTGACAAGTGCAGAGATCAGGTGAGAGCAAGCAGAAGCAGTCTGCTTGCATGGGGGTGGGCAGTACAGTCTTGAAATTGAGATCTAGGAAATGCTTGGTTGCAAGCTCACTAACTTTATTCTGTTTTCAGTGATGCCCTTTTCAAGTTCTGAAGAAGTCTACTGCAAGAAGCAAGCAGATAGTACTCTTGGCTACTTTGGGCTACAGAATAACTTTGATTTTTCCAGCCTCTACTGCCTTCGTTTCTGAGCTGTGATTTCACCAGTTGGTAAACAACATAACTCTATTTGTGGGGAATACAAAGATGTGTTTTGATTAAGTGGGGGGAGGGGAGAGCAATGACTGACATTTGAAGTATCCTCACAGCTATTCTTGGGATATTGTATGAAAGATATTGGTTGTCCAAAAAAGTCTGAAGCATGTCATCTGTTTTCATCTCCATACCTGCAGTTTTCAATGCCTGGGTCTTTTAGATTACTTCAGCAATGATGGGAAACTGAAAAATTCTAGAGAGCTGTGAGATGGTGAAAACTTGTTCACAGAAAGCGAATAGGTATCCAAGGGACAACATGGCCTTGCAAGAGATACAAAACAAAACAAGGTATTTCCAGAATTTCAAAAGTTTCAAACAATGGCAATGTCTTTTAAGTTGCCTTAGAAGACAGTTGTTGGCACAGGTGGTTTAGTTGCATTTCACGCTAGAAGGTTCTCATTTTAGAGGCTGACAGGTAGTGGAGGATGCCTATTGATTACCCACATCATTGCATCATCCTGCACCTGAAATATACAAGAACATGTGGAAACTGCTTTGACCATCCACTTAGGGACATGACATACACAATAATTCATTAAAATGCATTTATTTTATTAATAAAAACCTGCATTTTATGTATGTATGTATATTTTATGTATATATATGGTCGGTGTCTATATATGCGGAACACAGATGGAATGCATCAACTGTGCTCCTACTCAGCCATGCCAAGGCTAGAGGTAAGTGTGCTTATGTGAGTTCTTGTGGTTGGTGCATTGTGGCTTGCAGTTTGTGGGGAAAAAAAAAGGCCTTGAAAAAAGATGTCCAGATGTTCTTGCAGCTTTGTAGATGGAAAAGACAGGTTAAGATATGTGTGTAGTGCCCCAGTATCCATCAGCTTCTGAAATATTAGTGAAAGCAGCTGAGTCTTGTGAATGACCACAGTGAGAGAAGAACTGCTGTAATAACATTATTTATATTATAATGAAAAGACTTGAATTGCAGTATCCATACGTTTTTCTGTAGTTGTGGCAGTTGTGTTCCCAGTAGCAAACATTTATTGCAGTCCAAGGAAAATAAAAGCCATAACAAAAATGATGTAGTACCTAGATAGGTATCTCTTCATTAACCTGACCTGTTCTTGCCTACATTTTGCATAATAAAGATGACAGAAACAAAAAAGCGCTGTTCAATTAGTGTTAGGAACATAACTAACAATAAAATAGATTCTATATTATGCTCTCAAAATTAAATGTCAGGGCATATCCTGGCTAAATGCAGTATAATTGGGTTAGCTGAATGAACCTATCTTTGGGCTACATCTGGCTTCATGTTTCTCTTAAGTAAGAAGAGAAAAGACATCTACTAGCTAAATGCATTCTGCGCTTATGCATTTGTGCCCATGACTAGGTGTTCATTTTTATATAAGCAGGACACATTAACCGTTTTTAATTTACTATGTGGGATGCACTCTCTGAAACAGTAAAGCATTCTTCTTTATTCTTTTGCAGTATTTCTTTGCTGTTTTACATCCTAGACTTGTTATGAGCAAGCACAGATGTGTCTTTTGTCCACAGGAGAGGAAAGGAAGAGAGAGCCAAATGAAAAATCCTGAATGACAACATCTCCAAGTATCACAGCAGTACCTTCTAAAGCTGGAAGATAAAGCTGATGAGGTGGTTACCATGGCTACAGAAGCGGCATATTTGAATGAAAATTGATTTTAAGCTTTTAAATGCTAATTGCATCTGTGAAAAGGTGACATTTGAAATATCTTTTTCTTCTCCCCCTCCCCTCCCCTGCTTTGCATTGTACAACGAGTGAAAGAAGAGGGTGACAAGTGTGACAACACAGAGTTAAGTTAAAACACTGATGCAGTCTTCAACACTAAAGTATGTCGTACCATTTGCTTGTGCAGTAATAAAAGTAATAAGCGAACACATATATAGATCACAGTATCTGAGGAGCAAAAACTGTATCTATAACCCAAGTAATACATTTTTCATCATATTGTGAAAAATTAAACAGCCTTATTTAAATTAATCATCAGACCAATTTTTTTCTGGTAGCTCATAATAAAGAGGCTATTAAAACTTAGCATTCAGAAACTATTATAAATTCTCAGTGACGAGGAAATTTCGCAAATGCCTGAAATTAGAAGCATTTCTTATTTCATTTCATACATCAGGAAGTAAACTTGAACTTCTATACAGCGGTAGACTCAGGCCAGAGGGCAAAGGTGCTGTACGGACCAGTGTCACTGTGCAACTACTGCTAATTGCTGTCACACCACCATCTGGCCATGCTTAGGCTTTAGTTGTAGAAGACATAGAAGGTGTAATTTACCTAGCTGTAAGCATAGGTTTAATATGATCTCAAAGCTTTTTAACTTGCAGTAGGTTGTTACATCCCACTTGTTAGCGCTTGCTTTTTGAAACACTCCTGATAGGATTACTGTGTGAAACATGATCAGTTGTAATTCAAATTTATATTTTGTTACGAAAATATATATTTTTTGTAATTCTTTGAGGGGTTTCAGATTACTTTAGGTTTTTTTTTTTTTTCATTTTTGTTTTTTAATATGCAGTATGAGAAATCTAGTGGTTTTGTCTATGTTCTGCTTAGTTGCAATACGCACTGTAACAACTTACGGTAAGGAGGCTAAATTTTTGATTCAGTTACTGCTAATGAACACTATGAAAAAATGTAGAAATACATCAAAGGACAAAGGCTTTTTTTGTGCTGTATTTATAGAATACTAAATAAAGTTCTTTTCTTATAATGTCCAAAACAATGAGTAGGCAATCATGAATGAGTATATTAGTCTCCGTAAGGGGCAGCCTTCATAGAATCATAGTTGAAAGGGATGTGTAAGAGTCCCTTCAAGTCCATCTCCTAGGCCTGATACATCCATATCAGAGCAGAACCACCACAGCATGACATCTAGTGACATGACAGAAAATATACTGCATCCTTGTTGAAATCCACTTATCTAGATACATAATGCCCAGGTGATTGTTTTTACTTAAACAGTCATAGAAATTCCCAGTGAGCAGGGAATGAGGCTCTATGACTCTCTCCTTCAGATTCCTTTCTCTTTCAGACATGCTAATTTTCTCCTATGACATTCCATGTATGTTAGTGCCATTATTTAACCTCAGCAAGGAGGTGTGGAGTCAAAGGGAAAGCTTATTTCATTACAACCTGTGGTTTACCGGGCTCATTCATGAGAAAAAACCCCTGTGAGCTGGCAATTCAAGCAGCCTTAGGATTGCTTGCTGGTTTGGTGGATGAGCTCCAGTATTGCTGCCAACTTCTCAGTAATGTCATGGATCTTGCTGCTTCAGCATGAGATCTCCTGCTCCTTGTGTTTTGAAAGACACAGGAGTGCCTCAGCGCCTTCCCAGAAGGATGGGAAAGAAAACTGGGAAAAAAACAAAGCAGGACTCATGGGTTGAGATGAAAACTATTTAGTAAGACAAAAAATAATAGAAAAATAATAGTAATTGTAATAGATATATACAAAACAAATGATGTACATTGCAATTGCTCGTCACCCACTGACTTATGCTCAGCCACTGTCCAAGCAGCGTCTCTCTGCCAGGTGAACTCCCTCCAGTTTTACTGTTCAGAATGTTGAATGTGGCATGGAATATTCTTTCAGTCAGTGGAGTCAGCTTGCTGGTTCTGTCCTTTCTTTGCTCCTTGTGCCTCCTCAGTCCTAGAAGCTGAAAAACTGAAACGCCCTTGGCTCTGTGCTGCACTGCTCAGGCAACAGCTGAAGCATTGCTGTGTTATCAACATTGTTATTCTCCTAAAGCCAAAACATAGCATCATACCACACACTATGAAGAGAATCAACTCTGTTGCAGCTGAAACCAGGACAAGGTCAAGCTTGATATAAGCTATAACTGATTACTTACCCAATCTATTTTTGCCCAGATCATCATCAAGGCAGAGCTGGAGGCAAATGTCTCCCACTGGCCATACCATTCTCACAAATTAAACTACTCTGCTATGCCATCATGCTGTAATTACCCTTTTCTTTCTTTTCTTCTATTCACATGTTCAACATGCTCAGATTTCTTGCATTTGATGAGTTACAGACTATTTTTCTGCATCTTTGCAGTAATCTGATTTTTATGTAAACTCAGACCTTGTGGAATGTTTCAGGGAAATAAATCTAAGTTTAAAATTGTCCTTGAATAGTAAGATGTGAAATGGTGAGCATTTATGAGATAATCTACTGACTAACCCACTACACGTGTGCAAAAAAAAAAACAACAAAAAAACAAAAAAAAAACCACAAAAACCAAAAGCAAAACAACAACAACAACAAAAAAAAACACCACAAAAACAACAACAAAACAGAAATAAAAATAAAATAAAATGATAGAACAGCATCTTAAGACTGAAGTCAGTGCTAGCTCCCAGATCATAAAATCAATCATAGAATCGTAGAATGATCATGATCTGTATGAAAACAACCTCAAAGATCATCTGGTTTCTACCCCTGTGCCATGGCCAAGGTCACCAACCACTAGATACTTCTGAGGAGGAGGGGAAGGGAAAGGGAAAGGGAAAGGGAAAGGGAAAGGCAAAAGGAAAGGAAAAGGTAAAATGAAAAGGAAAAGGAAAGGAAAAGGCAAAATGAAAAGGAAAAGGAGAAGGAAAAGGAAAAGGAAAAGGAAAGGGAAAAAGGAAATATGTCAATTCCCTTACACACTATTTGGTCCTTCTATACACAGTACCAACTAACACTTCTTGGTTAATAGTCCAGCATGTGTGAACTCAAAACTGGATGTTCATATACAACAGGCAAAAACATGCTGAGGCCAGAAGAACAGAGACCACACCTGTCATTGTAGTTTCAAAATTTTTTATGGATGCAACAGAAACAAAAATATTTTAAAGAACAGATGATGTATTAGGCTCTGCATTTGGTAGTGGTCACAACTTTGATTCATGCTGTATTAAATTAAAGAGTCAGATCAAAAGAGTGGTTTAAAGCAGCACTACAAAATTAGTCCCATCAACTGAAAAAAAACAGACCTTTCAAACTAATAGGAGAATCTGGAATCAAAACATGAAAGGAAAGTTAGAACTGGAGTAAATGGAAACCCTGAGAAGCTTTCTGAAGACAAGCCAATATTTTTTTAAAGTGGAAGGCTCAACCCTAGACTGTCTAAATAATTCAACTATGAACAATTTTTCTGTATTCATTACAGCTCCTTTGTGGATACTCATCCCAAGACCTAGCCAAATTTCCTGAGTTTACAAACTTGTGTTCCTTAGAATAATTCTGATCTTTTGTTGCACTGCAGTAGTTTTTAAAATATCAGACAGATGAAACATTCCAACAGAGTAGTTTGAGGAAAGCAGCATAGAATTACTTCCACAATTGAAATTCAAGAGAAAATACAATAAAGGGATCTGGAATTAACCACATTTTTGTTTTAAAATTCATCTTGATTATGATACAGTTTAATGTGTAGGCTAAGATTGGAATAAACAAATGGTAGATAATTTGGAAGACGGCTTAAATATTCAAGAAGCTCAGATGCGTTGCCAGTTAGATATTCTAAAGGTCACTGTAACATGTTCATTACATTAAGGACAATTTAAGAAGACGGAACACAATTACTTGATCTGGGGCTAGTCCAGATATGTGATCCTTAATGATGAGACTCTCTGCTCTGTGTCAGACCTGAAAGATGTTGACTTTTTGCAGCTGCCTCCAGCTGGACCACCAGCATTATTTCCTGCAGAGTCTAAAAATCTTCCTCAGAGTTCTTAATGGCTATTGCCACTTTAGGATGTCAGAAAAGCTGGGAAGGTTCTGCCTATGCTGTTTCAAATGTATCAAAGCAAAAGGGTTTGGGACTGATCTTTGTTTTGCAAAGTATCTTACTCAAGTGACGCTTTGGTGAGAAGTGATAGAACTGGGGAGTAAGCTTGTGTTGGACAAATAGAGGCTTGAAAGTCACTTAGGTCAGTGTAGTTGTTTGTGCAGTAAATCAAGAATTTGGTTTTCAAGTACTTGCAGAAGGGAGACATCTCCACTAACGTGGTCTTATGGGCTAGCAAATAGGAACTAGAAGTGTTGCTATTCATCTTTATTTTTGGTTAACACATTTTAAAAATAAAAATTAAATAAGTGCAAATGTTATGTTTATCTTCATGTAAGTATGCTACTTCCATCTCTAAAGTTTATTACCTGAAACTTTATTATGGACAGAAGGTAATGAGTTCACATAGTAAGACTTCCTGGTTTCAGATAGGACTGAGCTGATTTTTGTAACAGTGTGATCTGATTTTGGCATTAGGAGAGAAAGCAATATTGATAACACACTGATGTTTTAGTTGTTGCTGAGCAGTGCTGTACAGAGATCTAAACTGGCCAAAGGGATATTTCATACTACTTGACATTGTGTGGAAAAACTATAACACTGAGGGGAGTTGGTGTAAAAGACTGATGAAAATGTCCCTCCACTTACGGGAAACCAAAACATAGCATTACACCAGGCGTTATGAAGAAAATCTGCTCTGTCCTAGCTGAAACCAGGACACAAATCAACACAATGTAATACCAAACAGCCTCTCTTCTCTCCAGCAAATGTATTAGCGGAGCACAGACGCCATGAGTCTCAAATGGGAGTAGAATCAGCAAATGAGCAAGTGAGCTTCTAGACTGTCCTGCACGTCTAGTATTAGGGCAGCCTTGGATGAAGCTGGGAGGAATCAAGGGACAAACGGACATGCTTTGCTTCAGCCCATGCCCTGGCGCAAAGGGGAAGCATGAAGCAGAGAGGAGCCCTGCTTCCAGGTATTACTTGTGAGCACGGAGGAGCTAACTGGTCTGTGGGTGCTACCAAAGACACTGTGGACCACAATATAGAGTGGGATGTGGTTCTTCCCATAGAGTTCAACCTGCTGCTGTGAAGTCCTGAGGAAAGCTGTATGTTTTCAAACATCAGCGACTGCAAATTGTTGAGAATCCCAAAGCTATGGATGAATGAGTTTTCTGAGCAATAGTTCAACATCTGCAGCAGGCCTGCTCAAGACTTC